TTAGCCTGAAGGCCACAACTTGGCCTGACCCCAGTGAGAATTGGGCTAGGCTTAGGCCTAGAGTTGCAGCCTGGCTTGCAGTTGGCTTGGTCTGTTGATCCATGTGATGTGGCATGTTGACTTGTGAGAGGCAGCCTATTAGTCCGAACCTCAAGCTAGGTAGAAAATATGAGCAAAAACAAATAAAAATTCCTTGTCACAATCATTGGGTTAACCTCGACAGCCTAGCCCATTGACAAGTGAGAGGTAATCTGATGGTTTGGCCCATGTGCTTGGATAGTTAGCCTGTTTGGCCTTGCACCTAATTATTGGCCCGCACCCTATTACGTTAGAAAAAAAACCCATTGTGGGCTTGGGCACTATTTTTGTGGATCGGCCTGGCTCAATCACGATTCTTATACATGCCCAAATGATATGTCTCTTATTTTTTTTCTCTTTTTTTTGGGGGTTGATTTTTGTTGTTGATGATATGATTTATACAGATACTAGTGGGAGTGAAGCATATAGGAATTCCTAGAACAGAATCACCACTTAACCCTAGAGAACTGATGGTAGAGATATACTGGGGACATGACTCCAATGGAAACCTCTGCATTATCGGGCACTCGGATGAGACACCAATCCCTGATAAAATTCATAATACAGTACTTCCATCTCCTCCCACAAGATTAGGCCATGAAGGGCCGGTTCATGGAATTGTGCTCAACTTGTAAGAATTTTGAAATTTGAAATTCCTGACATCATTGTAGAACAATGGGAGCTGTGTGTTTATAGTTTTTAGAGGCTTTTTTTTTTTTTTTTTTTTAAAAAAAAAAAAATTTATTTAAAAATATGACAATAATAGACATGGTCTGCTTGATGCTCACAAAAGAGAAGTGCAAGACAACGACTAACCTTGCTTTCATCCACAAGTGGATGAAAATTTTCATTTTTGAGCTCATCAATATGTGTTAATTTGTTCTGTGAGTCCTCACAATGAGTATTACTATGTTCAACAATAGCATTTTGTTTTATGTTGTTTTTGTATTGCTCCACCTGCATAATTTCAGATTATTAGTACAGTGTAAAGTCCTGATTAAATCTCCATCTTCTTACAGAGGACAAGAAATAACCACCAGAAGATTTAGCTGATCGATTTTGGCTGCTTGTTCCATACAAATATTTTCCAGCTCCTTCTCTCTCCTGATGGCTTCTGCCAAATCTTTCCCCACATCCTACAGATAAAAGAAATAGAACATGTGACTTAAAGAGGTTCACATAAAACAAATAATGTAACAAACATGCTTTTTAAAGCTATAGTAACTTGAATCTAAACATACTTTTGGAGCTTGAGCAGATGTTCCATTTGAATTCCCTTCATCATCCACTGTTTCGAGGCATCTTCTCTGGCATGATGCACACAGAAAAGAAGCAGAAGATCCATCTGAAGATGGTCTCTCTTCCGGTAATGTTTGAACAGAATCGTTGGCTTTGTCAACTGTTGAACATGGTTTTAATGCTAAGTGTTCAAAAGAGAAAGCAAGTGAAGATTTATTTGATGTTGAATTCTGCTGGTGAGAGTCAATTATCTGTAAACCTCTCTGAAGGCTAGCAGCCAGGGACTCTGTGGGGCCAGGAAATATCTTGCTTGACCGCAATGATGATCGAATGTGATCAATTGATTTGTGCGACTGTCGTAATGCACCTGAATCGAACTTGGAACTCTCTGAAACAATATTCTCACTTGCCAGAAGAGTCGATGATGCAAAGATTATGCTTTTCCTTTGGTTATTTCCAATTTTTGGAGACTCAGACAATGCTGGTTCTTGCAGTGCTAGAGAGTGCAGAGATGAATTGATTGATATGCTTCTCCTGAATGCAGTATCTACGGTCCTTGAAGTGTTGGGCTCACTTGGAAAGTTATCAACAGATGAAACGCTCGCTTCCGGTCGAAGCTCAGTCCTAGATTTTTCCAAACTTGTTTCTTCTATTTCACCTTCTTCTAGGCAGCTTCCGTAATATTCACTTGTGAAGTCTGTATCATAACTTTCTTCTACAGAAGAAAACTGAATGCTGTGTTTGTTGTCATCAACATCTTTTGTATTCTCTTCACAAGAACTGTGCAAATTGTCTAGCTGAACACGTAGTTCTCTTACATCGTCCTCATTAACAATTACTTCCTCATTGCATTCATTATCTAAGTGGGGCAAGATCAAGGAGCGATTAAGGCTCAATCTCAATTGATTCAAGCTTTCACGTACACTTCTACTTTTAGTGTATCCATAGTTACTTCCCATCGAGTTATATTCACTTGACTTTGCTCTTATAAGTTCTTCCTGCAATCAACAAATCACTCATCATCATCATCTCAATATAGCCATCAATTTCACAATGCATTGTCCAATAAAAGTACCTTCAATTGACGAATCTGGTCACTCAGGTCATTAACATCATCCTCTGATATTTCATTTATTACTGGCTCGTTGCGTATAGATTTTGTCTTTGATTTAAGTTCTGGATCCTTTTACAATGTAGCCATTAATGGCTATTTATAGAAGAAAAAATACAGCAATAACTACTTAGTAATTACCCATTTCTTCCATCTTCATTCTTGTCTTGCCATGTGTCCTTCCACTCATCCACTTTGTCCTCCCACTCATCCACTTTGTCCTTCATATTCTCCATTATCTCTATAACTTCTTTTAACTTCCAAATGAATAAGAGGATGCCACGTGTCCTGCAATTATATAAATAATAAATAATAATAAAAATTGTAGATTTATGGTGTTAACAGCGAGCTATTATCCTAACTACACATTCAATGGAAGAAGCTGACATTTTAAGTGACCGAATAGGAATCGTGTCAAAGGGTACACTTTGCTGCATTGGAACCTCCATCAGACTGAAGTCAAGGTTTGGACCCGGTATAGTTGCTAATATGAGCTTCACCGATACCACTACATCCGAAGAGGAAGCCATTGCTAAAACACGCCATGAAGCTTTAAGGAAGTTCTTTAAACATGTAAGTTCGGTTTCAGAGCTTGTTTTGGGAAATTTTTTTTTTCTTTTTTTTTTTTTTTTTTTGCCGTGGAATGTTTTGTTTTGACTTGTGGATTATTTTGACAGCATTTGAATGTGGTGCCGAAGGAGGAGACCAACTACTTCCTCAGCTATGTCATTGCCAACGAGAAGGAGCACTTATTGACGGTAAGCATTCATGATTTGATTCGGACAATTCAATACGAGTTTCTAGCCAAAATGCTAATAAAAAGTTTCCCAGTCTATTTTGCCTTCCTTTTGATATGCATTTTCTTGCAATTGAATTTTTTGTATCAGAATTTCTTTGCGGAACTACAAGAAAGGGAAAGTGAATTTGGTATAGCTGACATACAACTCGGCCTCACAACTCTTGAAGAAGTCTTCTTGAATGTTGCAAGCAAAGCAGCACTAGAAACTGCCACTGTTGAGAATAATTTGGTAACTCTGACCTTGACATCAGGGACTTCAATGTTGGTAAGTTGGTGCCTCTAACCACTATTATAAATGAGAAACAAAGAAATTAATCAACGCTCATTATTTAGCCTGAAGGCCTGCAACTTGGCCTGACCCAAGTGAGAATTGGGCTAAGCTTGGGCCCAGAGTTGAAGCCTGGCCCGCAGTTGGCTTGGTCTGTTGATCCATGTGATGTGGCATGTTGACTTTTGAGAGGCAGCCTATTAGTCTGAAGCTCAAGCTAGGTAGAAAATGAGGAAAAACAAATAAAAAATCCTTGTCACAATCATTGGGTTAACCTCGACAGCCTAGCCCATTGACAAGTGAGAGGTAATCTGATGGTTTGGCCCGTGTGCTTGGATAGTTAGCCTGTCTAGGCCAAACCCATTGGATAGTTAGCCTGTCTGGGCTTGCACCTAAGTATTGGCCCGCACCCTATAACGTTAGAAAAAAAAACCCATTGTGGGCTTGGGCACTAATTTTGTAGATCGGCCTGGCTCAATCATGATTCTTATACATGCCTAATTGATATATCTCTTATTTTTTTCTCTTTTTTTTGGGGGGTCATTTTTGTTGTTGATGAAATGATTTATACAGATACCAGTGGGAGTGAAGCATATAGGAATTCCTAGAACAGAATCACCACATAATCCTAGAGGACTGATGGTAAAGATATACTGAGGACAAGACTCCAATGGAAACCTCTGCATTATCGGGCACTCAGATGAGACACCAATCCCTAATAAAGTTCATAATTTAGTACTACCATCTCCTCCCACGAGATTAGGCCATGAAGGACCGGTTCATGGAATTGTGCTAAACTTGTAAGAATTTTGAAATTCCTGATATCATTGTAGAACAATGGGTGCCGTGTGTTAATAGTTTTTAAAGGTTTTTGAAGAAACTTTTGCAGTCCAATTTTTCCAAGTGTTGGGTGTTCTTTGTTGTAATACATTTTTGTTGCCAAAATCAAATTAGTGATAATAGATTTATAGTGAAATATGAATGGAATTACTTCAATTTGCCAGGAGCAATGTTTAGAGGGTGTTTGGGACTTAATTCTTTTATCGTCTTTTTTTAATTTTTCACTTTCTTAGAAGTTCAAAAAGAAAATATAATTGAAAAGTAGTTAAAATATTATTTTGTGAATGGAAGAGTTACTTTAGATATTTGACTTTTTTTCAACTGATAACAAACAATTGTCTACATACACCCCACCCACTTCAGATCACATTTAGAAGACACTAAACTATTTACAATTTCATAGCGTGCTCTCAATAAGCTCACAAAAAGTTCAATAAACAAACTTTGATAGAAAGCACAAGATTTATGTTCTAAATTCAATCCTGTAAAGCTCAAAAATACTTCTCCATGTATGTTTACAAGATGCATGAAAACAGCACCAGTGAAAATTTAACAAGTTCATGAAAACAGAGAAAAAGCTCATCACTATTGCATTCTAACACACTTACAAAGGTGATTCCATTGTGGAAACTATTCTGCATTTTCAGTTCACTGAGTAGAGCAAGTAGGTCAAAAGCAAAAATGCATTATGAACAGAACGCCAGAATCATGTCAACACCAACCAGTTTCAGAGTAAATTTAATTGCAAGTATATAGCACAACACAACATATGATATACATCACTCAGAAAAAACACCTCTGATGCGAAGAAGACAATATGGAATGGCTTTTTTAACAAACCCACATACATCTATAGTTACATGTCAATATAATGGTTTATATGACATAATCATACACCACAAAGACAAACTCAGAATTCTAATGGACTTAAAACCTCGCCTTTGGGACCCTGATTTCCGTCAAAATCATCTTCGCCATTCTGCTTGGATACCCTTCACTGAAATCAAGAGAAACAAGCAAACAACTTTCAAGGATTAGATAAAAGGAGAAAATTTTAGTTGGGTTTTTATTTTTTTGACAATTAATTAGTTCTAAGAATAATAGATATCACCTCTGTAATGTAGAAAAATGGTTTGATAGATTGAATCAAATGTGAAGTGGTCAACAATGGACTCTTTCCTTGATTTATAGATCCTCCAAAAAAGTATATCCTATCAGAAATTAACATGACTATAGTCTATGAACTGTTCAAGCTGTGTTAATCTACCTCAGTCAGCGTCGAGATATTGCACTTCAGTTTGGAAGAACAAAAGTACTAGACAATGTGGGGTGGGGTGGGGTGGGGTGGAGGATGAAAGTGGAGGAAAGGGCGTTTGTTTCACATGAGAGCAGTGGAAAATGCACGAAAGTTATCTTTCTTGTACAATCCATATTAGCATAGTAAATTAACTTCCAGTTTCTTGAAAACAATTCAGGAATTTTTTTATTTTATTTTTTATTTTTATAGTGAAAGTAGCAAACCATTTCAACTTTCTCATAAAAATTTCATCATAACCAAATTGCATACTATAAAATAAATTTTCCTTCTTTATTTCTTTCACTTAATTTTCTATCACCTTACTTTCCACCATATTTTTCACTCTATCAAAAGACTTCCAAAAGACTTTAAAAAAACAGAAATGAACATAGTTGTGCATGGGAAGATAAAAAATATTAAAAAAAAAAAATTAAGATTTGAGTTCTTCCATTTCTTACCATTTCCATCTCTAGATGACAACATAGATCTATCACTTTTGTTTCCACCTTTTCCACCCGACTGTATGGGTCTCTGTGCCCTTGGCGACGGCGAATTTGTTTTCTTGTTAGTTGAAGCTGGCAAAGAATGACGCCTAGTGAGATTCTGATTCTCAATTCCATCTTGGTCCAACCTTTGCGAGCCTTGTGCTTTCAGTTTTGCTTTTGCAGATTCAGTCGCTGCCATATAACTTGGCACCGCAGGTCTGTTTTGTACCCCATTCTCCGCACGTTCCTGCTTTGCTGCAGAAGAAGCCTTCCGAGCAGATTTCTGACTCTCATTGACAGTTATATCTTCCCTAGATCTTAACTCTCCATTAGTCACAGGAATACCCTCATGTTTTCCACTATTTTCTGGAGGCTGGGATTCTATTGCAGTTTGATCACCACATAACAAATCAATTGCCTCACTCACCACTGGTGGTTCTAGAGTTGCTTCTATATCAGGCAGTTTGGACACAGTGACAGTTGTTCCTTTCTTTATCTTCTCACCGGAGTCACTGATGTTCTCCTCTGCAGTATTTTGATCTGAAAAGCTCAAAACCTTTTCCAGACCATACTTTGGCTTCTCACTGTCAGCCTCAGACTGAATGGTGCCCTCTGTATTAGGGTTGTGAACCTTTCTCAGACTGCGTTTGACCTTCTCAAGCTCATTTTGTGGATGTTCCTGCACTGAATCTGCTGGATGACTCGAGACTTTCCGAAGGTTACGTCTTGGTTTCTCAATTTCAGAGGTGGATTGAATCGAGACATTGTCAAGGTTTAAAGGAGGAATCCTCCGGACACTAAGCTTTACCCTGCCTGTTTCAGAGTCAACAGTTTGTGGGTTAACCTTCTTCTTCTGGGATTTTGAGCTGGGAACTTTCTTTGTTGAGGGAATTGGTTTCCACAAGAGGGATGCTGACCAGCGTTCTAACCAGTTTAGGACTGAATTTGGTTCTGTGGAATCATATTGTAGACGTAGAGACTTTGCAGTGGGGGATGAAGCAAGAAGCTATAAAAGACCCCAAAAAAATGAGGTAATCGGTCACCTGCTGAATATGAAACAATAGGGCTACAAAGGAAAAGACCAGAGATCAAGGGACCAATACGCAATTGAAATGGGTACATACTAACAATTAGTTATTACTTACTGCTTTTTAAACTTAAACTTCCTCACCATCAACTATGACGTGTGCAAAAAATTCAAAAGTTAATGAGCTTTCTATAGTTAATTTGATTGAGTTGTGTTTTTTTGCGAGTTATGTCACAGGTTTATCTGTTGCCAAATCATGTCGTCAGAATGGTTTGAACTTCTAAAAGCCTCTGGAGAAGATTTTAAAAATTATGTTTAAGTTTGCAACTTCATATGCCCATTTTCTAGTGAACAATGTTAGCCTAGATCAATTATTAAGACCTTGATCAATCTAAAAATTTAACTTCAATTTTTTATCCGTGACTTGAAATTCTCGGGTAGAAACTATAGATGCAGCACTTTGGCTAGAAGAAGAAGAAACTTGTGTAGTAAAACTATGAGCGATTATAAATAAAATTACCTACCATCTTGAATTATATGACCTACACTAATGATAACTCAGTGGCTAGTTCAGGAGAAAGAAACATTTACAAATCACAACCACATATCTTCACTCATGATGCAATGCAGAACTTACCTCACGAACAAAAACATTTGCTGACAGCTTTGGTATCTTCACAGATGGGTTAACTCCAATGGGGTTCACAAGTATGCTTTCCTGATTAAAAGATGTATATAAACATGTGAGTTAGAATTGAGACATGCAATACTACTTCAACAAGGTTAACCTCAGAAAAAGGCATGCAACGTACAAATCTCAATCAACAAACCCTTCCTTGTCAACAAATTAATGATACGAAAGGTTACAAAAACAAAGTTCTTTATTGGCTACTACCTAATGCGAGCCGCCCCCTGGACTTAGAAGTACTACATGAAATATAAACAAAAGGCGCACAGGCTTCTACTTTATGAGTAGTAATATCATCGCTCCTTTAGGTAACAATGGTGCCACTCTTTGGCAAAGCAACAGTCTAGGAGATATGGTTTTTTTAATTTTCTTCCCTTAGAAGGCATGTCATGTCCTATCATTAAGTGTTGCAACAGGAGGGTTGTTCATTCCTATCATCTCAGAAGTAGGAGTTGTAACTAAGCTAATGGCAGCCTTAACCTTTTCTGATAGAGGGGGATTGAGAAAGAAATTGATTTTTGAATCGCCTAATTCAATAGCTCAAACAATAGGTGGAATTTGCCCTTTGAAGAATAGCTAACATTTGCAAAAGGGGGGTTGTTCAGTGAACGGGAAGCAAAGTTTCACTATAAACAGCTGAGTTCACCATAACTTCAGAAAAAAATACTAGCTGACCCAATAAGCCGAAGCAAGATTGGTCTTCTCTTCTCTCTCCAATCAAGTGAGGTGAGGCAATACAGATAACCTACCAGTGCCCAAGGGCATTAGTCACTATAGCTGACCTGGGACAACTAGGCTCTAAAGGAGGGCTTGCTTCCTTCTCTATTTTCTATTTTTGACTAACAAAGCTGGAAGAGTTTGCCAAGATGTCTTGGTAAACAAGCGCCAACTTCCAGTTTGTTCTCTCTTTTTTTTTTTCCTTTTTTTCTTGACATAAATATATAATTTCCTTCCATCAGATGACAAATTAAGAATTGAAGTACATTACAGATTTTTTTTTTCCCTTGTAATAAACAACAATAATGCACCAAATTCCATGTTTTATTGGGGAGAAGAGAACCAAATTTCGAAGAATGTATGCAAGTCAATACAAATTTACATTGTATACAGCTGTATCATTAATCAAGTCATTATTTGTAAATAGAGTATCTGAACCAGATAGTGTGTCTATCATTAGAAATCTAGAAGGCAAGGGGAAACGTTGCATGCAACTTTTACAAGATTGATGGTATGAAATCACCCAATTAGATTGACTCTAAAGAATGTCACTATTTGAGCCATGAACTTTTCATAAATGTCAAACATGAACTCTTAACATATGCAAGAAAATAATGAGCAACTTTGGCAGATGATGACAGATTTTGTATGACCTTAAAACTACTAGCATTGTCCTTTTAAGAGGTTACCAGAGGCTTTATGAGAATGCATTTCTTTTGCACTTGAAGGCCAACATCAGAACGCCTGATGTTTATTCCACGAGCAAGGGCCTGTAACTTGACAATTCCCAGCATACAGTGCAGAGTAGAAACAGCTTGTCTCCTCACCAAGTGCCCACGAACAAGCGCCTGCAACCTTATTATCCCTTTGAGGGCCCAAAATGCTCGTCGAGCCTTCAAATAAAACACTCAAATCAGTAGTGATATTTTTTTGAAACAAATAAAACTTACCAAAAATGTTATAAGAGAGAGAATATACTTAAGAAACATTTTTTCCTTGTAAGATATGTTTTATTTATTTTTACTATCAGAGTTTGTTGAATTCGATTGAGAATTTGATACACAATCAGAGCCAGAATGTTGGCAGAAAATTGATACCCAACCCCTAACCTATTGAAGGCAACAACTTTTCACCACAAAAATAGTACTCTGGGACTTTTTGGGGGAGTGAAAATTACCAAATAACCCTTGAAAGCTGCCTGGACCTTGGTGGCAGATTGGTCTCGTCTGGTTCTTTCAGGATCATTCAGTGCATCTAGTTGTGAGGTTCCTTCTGTATCTGTATCTCTATTCCCAGGAAGTAATATCCCCGCTTCAAGAGGTAGGTCTGCACCCTCTCTATGTTCTTCCAAGTTCTTTTCATTTGTAGCAACCGTATTCAAGGCAACATATGAAGCCACGGGAGGATCCAATGCTAAATCAGCTTCTGGTGCCTTTGCAGCAACCCATACCTCTTTCTCATTTCCTACTTTCTTCACATAAGAACCAAAGCATATATTAGGAAACAGTTTCCATATGCGTAGAAAATCTTGTTGAGTTGAAGCAATTGCAAGCGCAAGTTAAAACTAATAAATTAAAAGTATCAACTGGTAGAAAGGGTTATGAGAAATAGACATTTTCATTAAGTTCAATCCATTTTCAAGCTACAACCCATCCAAGAAATTAGCTGCCCATTGACCAATACATTCACAGTACCTCTCTTCCTATGGAAAAATTAGATTTGGATGATTTCTTCCCAAAAAGCACAGTTTTGATCCATTTTCCTGGTGATTTACCCATTGCACGTCGACCAAAATCTGAAACCAAAACAACCTGAACTCAATTCTGTGCATTAATTCACACAATTACAGCTCAAACATATGTAATGCAAACTGAGAATGATACAAAACCAATTGGATATCATGCAACCTGGGAAGATTCAAAAAAGTAAAAAACAAAGATAAAGAATACGCAGAAGCAGTAGGGTTATGTTCTCATACTCAAACGTACACCGATGTTGCAAGACCAATATAGACTACAGAATGTCAATTAAGTTCTAAATTTCCACCATTAGAGAGATTCTGCTTTTCTTGATCTCTAGAGATTGGATGGCTTTTTGTGACACATAATTTTTTATCTCTGTGTCATTTTTGTGTGGTTTTTATTTTGTCCTTTTTCTTTTGATCTTTGAGGACTCCTTGTCCTCCTTTGTGCTGTTTTTCTTTTTACTCGATAAAATTACTTATGTTGCTGTTCAAAAATATAAAAAAAAAAAAAAGTTGCAAATTTCCATACATCAATTTTGCAATGTGGAAGATGAAACTTGACTTAGAGAACTCAAAGTTTCATATTATTGTGTTATGAATACTACCATGATGCTCTATTAGATATACATGAATGTACATGAGTGATTGTGTGTGTGTGTGTCTTCTAAATAATTGCATATTTTCCTACAGGAAAGGTGTGCATACACTTTTGGTAGCCATACGTACGGTATGATATCAAATTTTGGTTTAATATACCAAAGGAAAATTTTGGTTACTTTTGGTTTGTCCTATTTTCAGGTGTTAAACACCACTTCTAAATAAATGTGATGGTGCTATAAAGGACATGTTGTTGGGTGCCAGAAAAATGTGGACTTGAGTGTCTAATATAGTGGAAAAATTGACATACAGTGGATACATGCATAAAGTGACAGATGTATTTTTAGGAACACCCAAGAAGTACCAGTGTTCAACACATTTGACCATGGTTGTTAGAATCGTACGATTCACGATTTGATTCATACGATACGATATGAGTTTCAACAAAAACGATTCGAATCGTGTTCTTGAATAAAAAATTGAGTGTATCGTGCAATTCACTAAGATTCATTGCGATTCACTACCATTCAGTACGATTCGCTGCGATTCAGTTTTTTTCTTTTTTTTCTTTTTTTTTCTTTTTTTTTTTTTGCTTACATAATGCATGAAACAATGTCATTTTTACCAAACTATCCAGACATATAGAAGAGATCAATTAGTTATATTGACATACATAATATTATATGTATATACATTCATAAAATTTAGTTAGATTGATATTTACATCATTTTAAACACTATGAATGAATTTTTATACAAAAATATAAAATTATATATTATATATTAAATAAAATGAATCTTACCAAAATGATTCATGATTTGACAACAATGCATTCAAGATCAACGAACATAATAACAACATAGAAGTTTCTCTACTAAGATTGTCTCATCCAAAACTTTTACTAATATTCCAACATACATAGCCCTGTAGTTGGAAAACATGTTCAGATAGTCTTCCTCATGCAAATATTTTAGAACCTTATAAAGGGCACTACCACCCAACTTCCTTTAGAGAAACCTCTAGGGCCACCAAAAATAAATAAATAAATAAGAAATTATAATTAGAATCCATTCTAAAGGCAAAAAAAAAAAAAAAGGGCTTCCAACTATCCATGAAAGCTGTTTAAGCAGCAATTGTGATGAAAATAGAACCCATTAGTCACAGTTATGCAATTAATTATCTTTGACATCTTTTTATGCAAATTTAAGCATCAAGAACAAAAGCCCATCAACTACACCGAGTTGCCTCTAAAGTTCAGTTCCATACACTAAACAGTAAAAACCCCACTATGAATCAGATGGCAAAGTAATGTTAATCAGATCGTGCATAACCAAACAAATGCAGAACCACTATAATTCATTCAGCTAATTGATTTGAAAATGGAAAATCACACACATTCCAAGCAAATTCACATATCAAGAAATAAAAACCCTAAATTCCTCCAAGATCTATTCCTAATTACAGAAATACAACAAAACACAGTGATAGATCAACAAGAGCACAAATTGAATCAGATCTGAGTATTACCAGACAAATGCAGCTCTTTCAAACCCCAAATCTAACATTCCTGAAAATCAAAAATCACTACATATCTTCAGATTATCAAAAATGAAACATACACTGAATGAATGTGTACAGAGAGAGAGAGAAGGAGAGATATAAAAGTAGAGATATAGAAAGAGAGAGAGAGAGAGTAGAGAGACAGAAAGGTAAACCATGTGAGTGAGCTTGCAAATTAAGGGAATGCAATGTTGCTTTTCATCATATCACATCTCTCTCTCTACTGAACACTGAGCCTCTAAATGGAAAAAAATATTTTTTTGGCTAAAATATTTTTATATACACAGCCTCTAAAAGGGCAAAAAAAAAAAAGATTATGTTTGGATGTGTTTTGAAATTATATTTCTACCCTATCACTTCTGTTTCACGTTTGGATATCATTTTTAAAATAGAATTCTACCATATAATTTAAACTACAATTTGAAAACATATTTGGCAGCTTTGTGACTTATTTCTCCACTTTCAACCTCTTCAACCTCCTTCCTCTTCCTTTCTGAAAAGTTTTCACGTTCATCGTCTCTGAAAAGGTTCACGTGAACTGATCTATTCATCTTTCTCTGTTTCAAAGATCAAGACTGAAGATTCGTCACGCATAATGTTCAAAGAGAACTCAGACCATTTTATAAATCATGAATCATATAAACCCGCTCCCTACACATATCATCTCCCACAAATCAAATAAATTACAATTTGTGCGTTGTGAAAGATTCATTTTACGAGCAACCAAACAACGACAACACCGATGTCAAATAAATCATAAATTTATTTCACATATTTTCTTACAAGTCACGGATTTGAAAATTTTAAAGATAATAAGATATTTTTTTATTAAAATTAATAAAATTTTAAATGTTTTTATATATTTTATAAACAATGGTGAAAGGTATTTGTTAACATTTAAAAGAAACAAACAAACAAACAAACAAAAAAAAACATGGAATTGAAAAAGAATAAAGGTGGATGGGAAGGGATAGGGTGTGGACGGCCTCACGGTAGGAGGATTGTGGTTTTCATCTGAACCGTTAGAATGGAATATTCCATTGGGATTTGCTTGGCACGAGTATCGAGGGATGAGAAAGGTTGGACTCACGGTGGACCCGCGTTGTAATGGTGGCAAACAGGACCAGCAGACAGATGAGTAGAGTGAGGTGTACTTTATAAATGCAGTTATTTGTGGGACACGTGTCTGGAACTTGTTTTGTTTAAGACGCGTTGTGAAGTTACTTGAATGCCCTCTTTTTATGTGACGTGTCGGTGCGCACGTGAGGTATATCTGGGAGTGTAGATTAGGACAATTTATTTATTTTTTATTTTTTTTTGGTTACGAAAAAATCCTCCCTATCCTCTCGCAGGTCCAAGACAGTACCCCTTGCAGAGATTACCAGGGTGTCTTATTAGCCGTTCCGAGTAAGAAGACTATAACCTGGAAACTTGCCCCAACCTTTCAAGACAAGTTCCGCTTAAGTCAGGACTCACATAGCGGGAAATATTGAACCCACACCAAGTGCTGATTAGATAACTTGAGATCCAACCTCCTAACCAACTGTGCTTCGCCTAAAAAATTGACCCAAGAGAGAGGAGAATTAAACCTGTGACCTTGAGACTAGGAGTTGTTTGGGATAAATTAAATAAGTGCACTTTTTGACTTTTTATGAAATATGGGTTGAGTTTGAAATGATGTGATAGAGAGGTGATATAACTTAAATAAGATGATGTAACTTAAATAGAATAGCGACTTTTTAACTTTTTGACTTTTTTAAATTATGCCAAACCAAGCCTAAATTCCAAACTTAAACCATAATGCCACCCAACCCAGGGTTTAGACTAGGACACTTGTGTGGTCGTTGGATGAAAAACTGTTTTGGATCTTTAGTGAGTGGTGCACCGAAGCCACGACGACATTCAAGAATAAGACAGGCTAACAATTTCATTTCGGATGGGTTGATTTTTTAATTTTTTTAATTGAATAATATTAGAAATTTTAAAAATTTTATTAAAGGTTTCATATATATATATATATATATATATCTGTAAGATATTTGATAAAATTTTTGAAATTTAGTATTTTTGTTTTTTAATTATTTAAGTTTGTAGTTAAAAAGTATCATTTAAAATAATTTTTTGACTTTTTTAACTTTTATAGAAAAAAATGAAATAATTATGATTTGAATATAACATTTTATCTTATTAGACTAAAAAAATTATTTTACCCTTTTATAATTATTTTAGCCCCAATTCACCTCAATCCAACGTCCCAAATGAGTGCTTAATTTAGGTTTCATTTAGAAATTAATTTTTATGAAAAAATTTATAAAAACAGAAAAGTAAAGAAAATTAGGCAAATTACATTAATGTTGTGTTTAGTTGAGAGATTTGAGAAAGGGATTTGGAAAGAGAAATGAAAAAGGTAGGTGAAATATAAATAAAACATACCTATATTTCACCTAATTTCACACACATTTTCCCTTTCATTTTTCAATCTCTCCTTAAATCCCTCAATCAATCACAACGTAAAGGACCCTATAATTTGGGGTTGTGTCACTTTGATCCATGACTTTTCAATTGTGACATATTTGACCCTGAATTTTAAATCTTATTTCAAATAAGGACAATTGAATATACATTTGCTCAATTTCAAAGGTAAAGTCATCAATTTGATAAAATATAAACTAATTTGACAAAAATAAATGTCAAAAAATATTTTTAATTTTTTTAAAATTATTTCTACCCAGTAATGATAAAATTATGTAAAATTCATAAATTTTTTGCACATTTATTTTTTTTTACTAAATTAATTTTTATTCTGTGTTTGGATGATAATCATGTAATGGGTGGTTGTTTTTATTTTCATTAAATTAGTTTCCATTTTTTCAAAAGTTAAATATGGCGACAATTTTGATATCATTATTAAATCAATCTATGAAATCAAAAAATTTTAAATTAAAAACATTTCATATATTACATATATCGATTACATATTAAAAGTCTAGCAACCACCCATTATATGATCATTATTCAAACACATAATAAAAATTAATTTAGTTAAAAAAATAAATAAATGTGTAAAAGATTTATCAATTTTACATACTAATTTTATCTTTGGTGGGTAGAAATAATTTTTAAAAATTCAAAAATATTTTTTTGACATTTATTTTTGTTAAATTAGTTTATGTTTTATCAAATTGACATTTTTGCCTTCGAAATTGAGCAATGGTATCTTCAATTATTCTTATTTGAAAAAACATTTAAAATCTAAGGTCAAATGTGCCATAATTGAAAAGTAAGTGACCAAATTGACATAAGCCCCAAACTATAGAGACTGTTAGTATAATTTGTCCATAATTAATTAATTTTTTGTAATTTTTTTTGAATTGTTTTTTTGCTAAAACCATGTCTTCCAAACGATATCTTAATTTATTCATATTTCTTGGAACAACATGTTAGAGTAATTCCAAAGTTACTTTTTATTTTTCATTATGGTTAATTACACTTTACCCTTTTTATATTTGTCATTTTCTCACTTTGATCTATAAAATTTATTTTTTTCACTTTGACCTTTCATATTTCAAATTTTTCTTACTTTACTCATAAAACTAAATTAAACAGAAAATAACACATTGATAATCACATGATATAAAAATATTTTATTATATATGACTTACACCTTTGACATAAATTTAGAAAATAATATATTTTTTATATTATATGACTATTGATGTGAAGTTTTTTTTCTAATTTTGAACATAAGTTAGCTTTATGAATAACGTAGAAAAAACTTGAGACATAAAGAGTTAAAATGAAAAAAAAAAAAATTAAAGGCCAAAATTGAAAAGTGACTAGACATAAAAGGGGTAAAGAATAATTTATCCTTTCATTATTTAAAGTTTAAAAAATGAATGCTCTTTATTTTAACTAACTAATTGGTTTATGAAAAATGATTCTTCTACACAATTTCTTTTCCCAAACCCCCCAAATAACGTGACGAGCAAAACTTAAAAAGTTAACTCACATTCTAACATTCCCTCAAAACTCCCTTTACATGCATTCTATCTTACCATCTCATTCAGGTGATTGTGAAGGAAAAAAAATTATGTGAATGTAGCACTGTTGTTCTTTTATTTATATGCTTCAATGCTATTCTTTATTTACCTATTTATTCATACAAATTGTTTAGAGAGTCTTTTAGAATTCTTCAAACATAAATAACTTAGAAAATTTTTTGTTAAAATAACCAATGTAATAATTAGTCTGTTAGAGAAAATAAAATAGGACGAGATTAATTATAATAGTAAACAAGCCTCCTTTAAAAAAATTATTTATATTCACATTAAAATGTTTTTTTTAGAATATAATTATTGAATTTGTGAAACATTCACAATGTATTAGTGTATTGTCCTAAGAAAATATTTTAACTTGCCAAGGTTCAATAGGAATGAACCTATGTAAGGAATGAACAAATAATTACAATAACTTCATTTTTAAGGGTTTAAAATTTAAGATTTAAGGATAAAAAATTGAGTCTGGGTAAACTAATAATTTTATATCTTATTAAACTTGAAGTAAACCAATAAGTGTACTGAAAATGTTTAAAATATTATTTTTTATTGAATTGAGTGACTGACAGATATTTTTCACCCATTTTAGTTAATAAAAATAGGTAAATAGATAGATAATTTATATTGAAAATAAATAAATAAAAATTATAATTTAAATTAACAAAATTAAAATTTAAAATCTTATTTTATTACAATAGTCATATCCTATATTTTTTTTTAAAAAAAAATATTCATTACAATTTTAAATGGGATGCACTCGACACATTTGTTTATGAAATGAAAAAATGATCATAGGTGTGGGAACAATTCCATATCTATCTATCTATCTATCTATCTATCTATATATTATATAAGTAAAATAGAATTTTTAGTGAGAAGAACTAAGAGAGTTCTAAGTGCTCAATTTAAATTTCGTAATTTTTTAATTTTAAAAAATAATTAATAAATCACACACTAACACTTTCTTTTTTAAACAAAAAATGTATTTTTTATTTCCAAAATCATTCCTTCATTACCATCAAACAAGGAAAGAGTTTTCCAATTAAAAAATAATAATTAATAAATCACACACTCAAAAAAT